CCATTTAATTCACTCTATGGCCGAGCGTACCACATTTGACTTTTTAGATAGAATGTTTAATTAGTATTTTTGTTGCCACTAGATGTAGTCTAGATGATGTCTGTTATGGGGAAATATATCGAGTTAAGTATGTGTACCTTCATTCCATTGCAATGCTTTTTATTTTTGGTATTTTGTTTCGGAATGAGAGGGAGATTTGTGGGTGGGTGTTGAGCAATGTAATGTCTCTTTAACTGGGTCATTTGATATAAACAAATGCACGTGTTCTCCATGCTTTAAGGTACTTTTTATTTTTGCGATATAGGTATCTGAACGTAGAAGAATATACACAAATGCTAATTCGTTAGTGTTGAGTAACCTGATGGCTCTTACTGAGTCATTTCATATAAACAAATGAACATGTTTTTGATGCTTGGAATACTTTTAAATTTAATTTTTATATTTTTTTCCTTTTTTTTTTAAATCCCTGTATAGTGGAGTAGATGTTCTATCATTCGAGACTTTTTTATTACTGTCAGATTTTTCTGGCATTGAGACGAATATTTTGTACGGCTTAGTGAAAGTTTTTTTTTTTTTTTTTTAATGTTCTATTGCTGGTATTCTATTTTTTTAATGACAAAACGATAGCGCTATTTGACCGTAGAAGATACACAAATGCTAAATAAGTCAAATTTACTGATATTCTATTCCTGTACATTTGCAATGTTGGGCTTTGCGTATACCCATGCTTAAAAAAATATCATACACTGTCTGTTTTTTGAAATATTGCTTTCTTTTCGTTGTTTAACATTGAATTTTTATGAAAGACAGTTTTAATATTTTTGAATTTTAATTATGTGTTGTGTTAAATAAAATCTGCGATTGTTTGGATATTTTTCCATATACAGTCAAAAGTCGTTAATTCGGACACCCATAATCCGAAATGATCTATAATCCGGACATCAAAGCAACATGCATAGGCGTTTACGTGCGCGTGTAAGACCTTTACGGCTGCGAATATGCTTGTGCGCATGCTCATAAAACGTTTACGCATGCGCGTTTAATGTATAACTGACGGTGTAAGCTAAGCTCAGCTAAAATTATCTAATTCAGTTAATGTTGCAGATTGCGTTGTTCCTTAATCTTCAAATTGGATACGGCTTATTATTTTTTGCAGACTGTTAGAGCAATTTTATAAAAGTAAGCTTAAACTTTCTCTTTAATTCTCGATTATATCAAATAGATTCGATTATATCGAATAGAATTTCCAATATATATTTGTTAATATGTAAAGGACCTAAAGCGAAAGTATGTTTCGAAATCCGAAATCTGTTTATGAATTTCATGCTGCTGGGCGGGGGGAACGCCGCGGCAGGCAATGAATTGAAGTTGATCTGTCAGCACTATCCTTATCTTCAGGGCAGGTGTTTTTATTTTATTTGGCTTATAATTCCTTAACAAATGTAGTATTTTATCTGGATGTGTTCGGTCTTTGATATGATTTAAAACAAGTTCCTTGTCATTATAATTCGCTTCCGATAGTGAAGAAAGTGACAGAGGTTATTGAAAACGAAAAAATTTCGATTGACAAATTAGTCGGTATTCTCGACACAGCAATTATAGGACTTGAACCGCGGAACTTTGTAACTAAACAAGAAATTATGTCTGTTTAATAGAATTAAAGAGAAAGTATTATCACATGAAACGAAGCAACTTAAACAACTTACATTGAAAGAAATGTTTAATAAAGTAAACAAATAAATATTAAGCTTTTTCTTTTTGTAAATTTTGATACCCTTTAGATCATAATTGTTTTTTATTTCATAAATTACGGTTTCATATTTTTAATTTTATAATTTCTGCATGCAATCTTACCAGATTTAAACTGATGATCTATAATCCGGAAAAATCGATAATCCGGAATCGCCGAAGTCCCGACGAGTCTGGATTAATGACTTTTAACTGTATATTTAATTGCAGGATAAAGGAAAAATTATACTATTCTAGAATGAGTATTTTATAAAATTTTTAAGGAAACTATAATAATAAAGGTTTAAAATTAACTGACAACTACCTGAGCGTTCTTCTTATAATGTACCAAAAATTTAAACAATTGGATGACAAATTTAATTTATACAAATTTTTTTCCAAAGATAGGCTTAGCAGTGCGAATTGCCCATCCCCACAAGACTACGTATCCGGTTAACGCGCTGTCCCAAGACAGCGCTTCGGTAACAGAGGTGCTCGTCGTGAACGGGTTAATATGTTATTACATACATATTACTTCATTTGTATTTTACTTTTAAATTATGTATTTATACTGAAAATTTATTTACTTACAATCAGCACATACATAAAAATTTTGAATGTAAGACAAAAATGATGCATAAAACACACTGAACTTTGAAATACAATAAAATATCCAATAATTGTTCCATATGAAAATGACATTATTGTTTGTTAAAACTGAATTATTATGCACTTGGTTGCTAGAATTTGGCAATTTTTATTCAAGTAGCTGTGGTAAGTACCAAATATAATACACATTTTAGCCTAAAAATAATGAGCTCATTTAAGAACATTGCCTTCCAACATGAAACAAAAAGCGTTATTTTTTACTTAAAATAAATATTAATAATAAAACTTTTTTCTGCAAAATACATACATATATAAATATATACAGTCAAAAGTTGTTAATTCGGACACCCATAATCCGGACCTCAAAGCAATAAACTTTCTGCGCATGCGTCGCAATTCGGACACCCATAATCCTGACCTCAAAGCTACAAACTTTCTGCGCATGCGTCGCGTTGATGCATGCGCATAGGCGTTTAGTGTTGAAAAATATGACCTATTGTAACCCTTGTTTTGCATCATCTCTCCTCCTTGAAATATTTCTAACTTTTACATAAGGCTTAGTTCTTATTTTAAAGGGATATAGTAGTTACTTCTACTTCGTTTTCACTGCCACTGTTTGTATTAAGAACGGACTGTTCCAGTCTAATTAAGATGCAAAAACAAAACTTGATGTTACGTCATCCGGAAGAGCTGAGTCGTGCCGATAGCTGATTGGTTGCCGTGAGATGACGTCATGTCTACTTCAGGTATAAGTTTCTCGCTTCGCTCTGGCTTATTCCTTCTGGTTCCTGTTTCTTTGCTCTGTGGTGTGCCGTTCCAGGCCCCATTGGAAGAGGATATTGAGATGTGTGCCGTCCAGTGATAAGTGCCGTGGTTCCAGTCTACAAGATGACTTTTCCTGGATTCTCAAAAGAGGCTACGATGTGAGCGACTGATGTGGCTGGCATCCTGTCTTTATAAAGGCGGCATCTTCAACACAAGTGTTTTTCCAGAGTTAGCGGCGATGATTTCCCAAGCTGTGATTTCTCATGTGTAACTACAGTGAGTGGCGTTTTGCCGGTTTAAGTGCTCTCAAGGATTTAATTTAATTTTCCAGGTGCCTTCTTGACCACGAAGCATGGACTTATTGATAGTGTAGCGAATTAGATTAAAACCGCGTAATTTCTGTTTAGTGATATGTTTTTTGCATATTAAATGCCAGTATTTGGAGATAAGGTAAAATATTTACTGTGTCTTTAATAGTGTAATATTTTTTAAAGGAAAAATCCTTGGGGTTAATGGATTATCAACGAAGAGTAATTTTTGATAATGATTATGTTATACTCTAAGTTTCTGATATTGATTAAATTTATTCACTGTGTTTTTATTTTTATATATTGTTAATAAATTGGCTAAGTTTAAAACTTTTGTCTTCAATATCTGCACAGTACATAACCTTAGGGAGCTTCTATTGCTACTTTTGCTATAAGTTTAATTTTACAACTTTGCTTTTGCATCATTTACGCGTGCGCGTAAGACCTTTATGGCTGCGAATATGCCTGTGTGCATGCGCATAATACATTTATGCATGCGCGTTTAATGTATAACGGACAATATAAGCTAAGCTAAAATTATCTCAGTTAATGTTGCAGATTGCGTTGTCCCTTAATCTTCGAACTGGATCCGACTTATTATTTTTTGCAGACTGTTAGAGCAATTTTATAAAAGTAAGCTTGAACTTTCAATTATGTCAAATAGAATTTCCGATATATATTTACTAATACGTAAAAGATCTACAAAGCGAAAGTATGTTTCAAAATCCATTACACAGAAAGTGGAATTGCTGCAAAAAATGGATAAAGGCATATCCTTGGACTATCTAATCATTCCGAAATATGTTTATCAATTTCACGCTGCTCTGGCGGGGGGGAGGGAAATGATGCGGCGCGCAGTGAATTGGAAGTTGATCTGTCAGCACTATCCTTATCTTCAGGGCAGATGATTTTATTTTATTTGGCTTATAATTCCTTACTAAATGTAGTATTTCATCTCGATGTACTCCGTTTTTGATATGATTTAAATCAAGTTCCTCGTCATTATAATTTGCTTCCGATAGTGAAGAAAGTGACACAGAGGTTATTGAAAACGAGAAAATTTCGATTGACAAATTAGTCAGTATTCTCGACACAGCAATTATAGGACTTGAACAGCGGAACTTTGTAACTAAACAAGAAATTATGTCTGTCTAATAGAATTAAAGAGAAAATATTATCACATGAAACGAAACAACTTACATTGAAAGAAATGTTTAATAAAGTAAACAAATAAATACAGTCGAAAGTCATTAATCCGGACTCGTCGGGAATTCGACGATTCCGGATTATCGATTTTTGCGGATTATAGATCATCAGTTTAAATCTGGTAAGATGGCATGCAGAAATTACAAAATTAAAAATATGAAACCGTTATTTATGAAATAAAGAACAATTATGATCTAAAGGGTATCAAAATTTACAAAAAGAAAAAGCTTAATATTTATTTGTGCATTATGTGTGCAGCTTTAAAATTTTTGAATATTTTCCTATGGGAGTTTTATTATGATGCTATAAATTTACTATAAGTGGCACAGGGGAAATAGCAACAACGAACAAATAATGTATAAAAAATTTATGTACTTTACATACTTCATCTGATTTGCCTTTATGATGATTGTCACAATAACTAAATGATTTCCATGCTTCTTCATCACCACAATCACAGTAGCCACCCCCACCACTTGCACTCATCTTATAGCGATGAAGTCTGTGTGCACTGCAAAAACAAAATTATGAAAATAAATTATATAGCCTAATAATCTTGAAATATTAGATAATGTTTCATATCTAACATATTTCCCTCTGCTAGATTGTAAAATCTTGCTTTAATTAGCTATATTTTCATGAAGAATTCCCTGCTCTGCAATTCAAACTTCTCTAGTTATTCCAAGCAGAAAGGAGTACACATTTACACTATACATTAGTTAATAGCTGCTATGATTGCTTTTGCTTCATGCACATATTTTTTGTTAGTACTTGTTATATGTTAAATTTGCACTGATTTGAAATGAGAAACTTCAGTTGGTGGAAATGAAATTATTAACTACCAAAATGAAAGCAAGTTTTAGAATATATTATTAATAAAAAAATTAAGTAAATATTAAAAATATATAAAGAGACTTTTTTAATGTCATTTAAGTCTATAAATGCTATTTTGAAGCCCTTCTGAACTAAGGTCTGGTCCCTTACTGCACACAGAGCTGGATTAACCAATAAGCATATGGAAACAATTTTAATAATTAATTTTTAAGCATGAAGGAAGTATTTCTTACAGCAATTTGCTTCTATCTGAAAGACTTGATTCTAGCTCCAACTTTCCACGAGAGTCATCTGAGTATGATTGATATTTTGATTTTTACGTGGCTCTGGGTGTACGAAGCGAACTCGAAAATCATGGTGAGTGGACATATGCTTTTGGTAGCGCTTAAATGTATAATATGTTTTTCCTTTTTTATGTTATTTTATTGTTTGGTTTAGGAGATTATGTATTTTTTGTTTGCCTATATTGTAGAATTTGATGCTCCTTTGACTTTTTAAGTGAAAATATATCGATGTGTTCATGGACAAAGTAAAGGGAGTGCGCAATGCAAGTTTGTGCAATTCTGGGATTTTTTTTTAAGTGAAAATAAGTCGATGTGTACATGGATACCAAGTTTGTGCAATTGTTTGTCTTGTTATTTTGGCTTTGTGTAGCGGTGATTTATCGTGCAAAAATCGCCGCTTCGCAAGCCAAAATAATGAGTCAAAGAATTGCACAAAATCGGTATCCATGTACCGCCAAAAATCACCAAGGGGTACCCTAAACTATACTTTTACCTACTTTTCTTTTCAAAATGGAAAGTGACAAGGTGCACATCAAACATACAGGTTTCAATGATACAAGACATAAAGGTTACAATACAGGTTTTAATGTGTCAACATAAGCTGCTGCAAATATTCAAGATGTCTCTAGCAACATCATCATTGGTACAAACATTGCAGGTCAGGTTATTATGATCTTAACAATTTTACAAAATGTGGAAAACCACCAAATGCAGATAATGACTATCTGCTATCTAAGATTAATTGTGTTCTCAAAATATTCAGCCAAAAATGGCTATTCTGCTACGGGTATCATACACTGCTATAATAAATCACTTTCTGAACTTTTAGAAAGATGTACAAAAAAGAATTAGGGGACTTCATCAATTCTTACCAGACAGCATGCACCAGTGCTTGACTAGCAATCTTTTTTTTTTTTTTTTAACAAGTAAAAACTGATTTTTCTGTTTATTATATTGTCACAAGGTAACAAAATATGGGTTCTTTATACCAACATTCAATGAAAAATAGCATTTGAGTCCTGGCCAAGACAACATCCAACAGGATATGTATTAAGTATGGTGGGAAGTTAAGTACATAGTCTAGTTTGCATTCTTGGAAATAAACAAAATCATACATTACAAAATATATTGTTCATCACCTTGAGCATCTGCATCAAGTTTTTCTCATCAAACACCCAGCACTAGTTGGTACAAGAAGAGTAATCCTCCAGCAAAATAAAAGTAGACCACATAATGAATGAAAGACTTTACAAAAAGTCTTAACAATTCAACAAGGTAATCCTTTCTCACACACTATCGTTTTAAGATATTACCTCATCAGATTTTCATCTGTTTCAGTTTCTGCAGCAATTTTTAAAATGTAAAACATTTAAAGATCGGGACCATGGCTACTATACACTCTGAGTTTTTTAATTAAGAACTAAATAACTTCTACAAGGATAGAATTACAAAGCTACCAGGAAGATGAGTAATGGTTTAGAAAACAATGTACCTTACAAAAAGTTTTAACAATTCAGCAAGGCAATCCTTTCTCACACAGTACTTTTTTAAGATATTACCTCATCAGATTATCATGTATTTCAATCTCTGCCACAATTGTTAAAATGTAAAACATTTAAAGATTGGGACAATGGCTACCATACACTTCGAGTTTTTTAATTCAAATCTAAACTTCTACAAGGACAATTACAAAGCTACCAGGAAGATGAGAAAGGGTTTAGAAAACAATGCACAATCACTGACAAATAAAACTTCTTTGTAAGGGAAAACCCACTGTAAAAATATTATTTTTATGCAGTATCTTCAGAAAAATTCAAAATAAAACTAACAAATACTTAATGACACACAGATTGCACTGAAGTGTATGCAGTATCAATACACTCATTAGTGAAAGAAACATACAAGTTAGATGTGGGTGTGAGCAAAATAGGCACATGTACCACAATCCCCCCAAAAGGAAACAGAATATTTAAACTAATTCATTAATTAGTAAATTTAATAGTAATTGATAAATTAATAATAAATCTTTTATTAAATCTGCTTTGTTACTGCTGTCGAAAAATATTGGGATAGGAGTAAAATTTTAAGGACAAATGAATTTAACATCCTACAATTAAAAAGAGTTACATAAAAACTAAAAACACTTTTTTATTACCTGTTCTTAAAGCAATCAACACAGAGAACACAAGTTGGATCGAGGCCACAGTCTCTGCAGGAGTACGTAGGTTCTCCTGCTTTAAAAACTTTTCCGCATAAAGATGGAGTTTCGCTGAGCTCTTTGATACGTTCAAACACTTGTGATGGATCGCTGCTTCCACAGATGAACTGCTCCAGTGGTGCAAAGAGTACCCGTTGTGCAGTAGCTTCATCATAAATCAAGTTAAGGCAATCACAGTCTGGTTTAGGACTATAAATAACTGGAACATTTTTGGCCCAGTATTGTTTGAAATCTGAATCGTCCAATGATTTGCATTCAAATTTTTTATTCCAGTCATACACTGTGAATTCTATGTCATTTTCAAAAGTCCTGGCAGGAGGTAATAGACAAGAATCCAAACCTGCCATACTTAAAATGCAGCAGCTATAAAAATCAAACACAGACAGTTACATCAATAATAAAAAAAAATCACAATATACTACTACAAAGTATCAAGTTGTTTTTCATTCAATTGTTTTTCTGTTCATGTTTACAGTTAGGAATAAAATTATTTTTGGGGGCACCTTTATAAAAATTTTTCCTTTTCTATAATCATTTATGAATTTACTTCAGTTAATAGATATGTGGAACTGATTTTTTAAACAATTTGTTTTCAGTAAAATTCTCCCCATATTTTTTTAATTTTAACACACCAACAATTATAAAACATACTTCTCAGCTTCAGTACTAAAAACAGACTTCAATCAAACGCGGGTAAAATAAAGGAAATAAAATGCTGAAATTTATATGCCAAATATTTTTCTAATAACTAACTTCACTTACTCAACTATTATATGTCTATAAGTAATTTGGGAAAATTAATTATTTTGGAATAATTAATAATTAAAAAAATCTCCAAATTTCAGATGCCATAAATTTTAAAATGCAGTCTGTGTTTAGCAATGTTTAACATGGTAAGAAAGGTGCACCTCGAGTCAAAGAAATAAAACGGTTATGATTTATTGTAAACATGTATTTTTGGAAATATCTAATTTGGTTAAACGTTTTTCCTCTGGAAATCATTCTGATAAAAATAATTACTTAACAATATTCGAGGAAAGTAATATATGAACATGCAATTCAAATATATTTATTAATGAAAAATGCTAAGTATTTCCAAATGGGAATATGCCAGAAAAGAACTAAATTTTTTCCTTTGCAATCATAACAATTTTTGGATAATGTATATTTAAAGGGGCCTCTTGGATTATCGCGAAGTTGTTGTTTTATTTATGATAACCTGAGTAGTTGAATGTTATGGAAGCCCTATTATGATGTGATTGGTTGCGTGACTGCGGTAAATTTGACTGATGGGAAAATATTTGCTGGATGTCAGTTATTAAGTACGTCGTGTACTGTGTGCTGCGCATCATCAAATGGCTGCCGGTGGTAAAATAAATGTTTGGTGGTATAAAACGAGAAAGGCGGAAGGTATTTTTTTTTTGAAGTGGTTGAGGACAGAAGAAAAACTTTGTTGGATGTAATTCAATGGAAGTGTCCTGTTTGAACAAAGGAAATGTGTATGGTCGAACATAAAGATAATTCAAATGTCACAAGAAAAGTTCAAATGCTCACAATATAAAGTGTTCAATTAGAAAGGGAACATGGTTTGAGGAAAGTTTTTGGATGCTGTTCAGGAATTTTGTGTGCCGTGGAAATTTCTAAATAAGGTTAAGTGGATATTTCCTTTGTGTAGTGCTTAGATGCTATAAGACTAATTTCCTTTTTTATGTTATTTCATTGTTTGATTTAAAATGTAGTTTATTGAGATTATATATTTTTTCTTTGGCTCTAGTGTAAAATAGGATGCTCCTTTGACTTTTTAAGTGAAAATAGATCTATGTGTACATGGACGAAGTCAAGGAAGTGCGCAATTCTGAGTTTGTGCAATTCTCTTATTTTTTTAAGCAAAAATAGGTTGACGTGTTCATGGATACAGAGTTTGTGTAATTCTTTGACTTATTTTGGCTTTATGTAGTAGTGATTTTTTGCACTAACGCTGCTACACAAAGCCAAAATAACAAGTCAAAGATTTATACAAACTCTGTATCCATGTGCCTCCAATTTCCGCCAGTAATGTAATATACTTTTATCTAATTTTCATCTAGGCATAAATACTGGAAAACAAAATACTAAAAAATTAGTAACATTTTGACTTTAAATCAATTCTGAGGCAGAGTACCAATTTGACTTTACCCAAATTCAGGGGAAAATATAAGGTAATGATTCCATTTTATTATTACATTCTATGATCAGATAACTGAAATCAGTTAGATTTTTTAACACAATGTCAGCATATATTTTTATACTTTTTGAATATGTTTATTTTAGTAATAGCACAGTTTCCTCATTTCCCACATCATGAATACCCTATTTATATCTAAAAATTAATCAAAAACGATATACAGTGCTCAGCTTTGTTTACAAGTATAGTATTCTTATTAATGTATTTGTGTGAAAGGAAAAGACCAATTTTTAATATATTTAAATCTACTGATAGAGTGTTTTGTTTCTACAATATTTTTTTTTTATGTGCAAAATGATTTATGTTTGTTTTTAGGACATACATGAGCCATAAAAATTTTCAATATCACTCAAAAAAAATTTTAAAGCAAATTAATAAATATGAAGTACCAAAAAATCTCATACCTGAATAAAAGGGATATATTGTTAGGAAGATTAATTTTATTACTTCATGTTTCTATAGCATCTTCATATAATAGATTGAATGCCCTTTGGTTAAAACAGCTAAAGAATTACACTGTTCATATGCAGTTGCAACCATTTAAAATCAAAGGTATTAATAAATCTTTATGTACAGAAAAATCTTATAAGGTGTTTACTCTTTCCTTACGAAGTGCCTTCTCGGTATAAATGGATAGCACATCCAGCTAGCACGGAGTGCCAGTAAGATTACTGCACCCTTTTGATGTTCCTGCACTGATAAACCTATCGATTCTAATTTTTTTTTTTGTTAATATACCATTTCTTGCATATTTTTTCTCCTAGGTTTTTGGCGGCGGATTCTGAAAAATTTTTAAATTCGAATAATTTTCTCCTTCCTCAATGGCTTCAGATAACAAGCTCCTCATAAATTTAAAATGAATTCGTTCAAATGATGATTCTTTCTATCTCACGAACAAAGGCAAACCCTTGCAAACTACCCGCAGAAGTCATGTCAAAATTTTTCCTTCTAACTGTTGAACTTCCTGCCAGCCTAATACAAAAACTGATGCATCATAGCAAAGCAAACATGAACTGATATTAAGTCTACAGTTTTGCTCAGTCAACTGCATATTCACGTACAGCAGGGTTTCTTAAACTACGGGTCCTGGGACCTGCAGCATGGGGGTCGCCAAAAATTTTAGTAGTTTTGGTATTTTCTTAAATTATAAAAATTTTACAATTGCCAATTATTTTTACATAATGTATCTGAAAATTGATAAACATAAGACAATACAGAAAGAAAAAAACAAAAAATTTTCGTCGCATTCTTTCTATAATATAAACGCTCATTTTCCTTCCTTTGCATGCAACATTGCCATTTTGTTTGTTACTTATTTAAAATTTTCACATTGTTCTATGGCTTAAAATTAGAAATTAAAGTTAATGACCTAAAACTGCAATAGTATATTACAGTACAAGTGAACAAAATTGACAGTAGTTTCACATATGCGTGTGTCGGATTTGCGCAATACTTATGGGGTCCTACAAAATGTTTGTAAATATTATGGGGTCCTGGGGGTCTCAAAAGCATCTCAGTGATAAAAAGGGGTCGCGACTGAAAAAAGTTTAAGAAACTCTGACATACAGCAACTCAGCTGGCAGTAAGTAAGTTCTCTAATGAATTATTTTAGGCCCAAGATGTAACACAGATGACAATAAGAATGTGCAAGATTTAAGTTACAGAAAAGTAGAAACGAAGATATCTTATTAGATACTGTAATATTATTATGCATTCATACTGAAATATAGGTTTCTTTTAAAGAAATAACATTCTTAATGTTACCTACAGTTTATTAATGGCTACTTTTTATTTGTTATGTTCTTTATTTATTGTTAAAATAGCCAAAAAATTACAATTAGTAAATTAGCATATTTTAATAATAAATACTGTTTTAATTTACACACAGGAAATTTAAGAAATAACATGTAAGCTAGTGCTAGATAGTTAATTGACTATATATCATACATAACATTTTTTCTCCCTAACCATTGCAAAATTTCAAAACTTTTAAGACTTAGCAGAAGCAAACACCATGATTTCAATCTCCAAAAAGTCCACTCACAATTTGTATTTCAATGAATAAAATCTACTGTGGATGCAGTAATCATAAATATATTTATAAACTAAAAAATATATTAAACCACAGAATTCCACTGCATACTTACAAAATATACTCATGTCCATAAATTAAGGATAATGTCAACTCTGGCAAAAAAAGGGGTCAGAAACAAAACAAACGCAATTACAAAAAATAACTCCCTAATTAAAAACTTGACATTACATGGTTGGTATGATGGTCAATATATTGTATGTCTCTCAGAAGATCAAATACAGTCCACACAATGTTTAGGCATGCTGAGTATCAAATTATTGAGCTGATCTTAGGGAAGATTACTCCACTCAGCAAGCATTACTCTCTGAAGTTCAGGTGCACATTTCAGAGGTGCTTGATGGGATGCAATTTGTTGGCCAAGCATATCCCACACATGCCATATCAGATTCAAGTCAGGTGAGAATGTTTCCATACAGGTGACATCCTCCGATTGAAGGCATTCCTTTACAATGTCTGCACAATGAAGACACCCCTAAACAAAGGTACATGCTGTTTCAAAATGTTGTCACCATAAATTTGGCGTGTCATGGTTTTGATCTGAACATGGAGATCTTCTGGAGCCCAGCATAATTCCACCCCAAACGAGCAATCATGCACCACCATAATGATGTCGTCCAGTGATGTTGTCTTGCTGGTAGCAGGTACCTGGAGTTCTCCAAATGAAAATCCAATGTAAATCAGACTGCAAGCTAAACCTGGACTCGCCGGAAAACATCACACAAGTCCACTGTGATGATATCCACATTGCATGTTCTTTACTCCAGGTTAACCACTGATGACAGTGAGTTGCCGTGAATGGAACACATACAAGATGCTGCGGGCATATAGACCAATCTGCCGCAAACGTTCATATGTGGTTTGCATTGAAATTGTCATACCCATGGCTAAAGATATCTGATGATGTGCTCCATCTGCATCTTTTGGCAGTTACTGCCAAATACCGGTTGTCATACTCAGCGTTGTAACTTGGCAAGACCTGTACTGTAATGTCTACTGACATTTCCATCACTTTGGAATCGTTGCCAAAGCCTAGAAATGACACTTGGACTATTCCAAGTTCCTTGGATGCTTCCATCTGAGTACACTCATGTTCCTGGTAGCCGATAATTCTACCACATAAAAAAATCATCTAAATGCATCCTCTGTGTCATAACTATTTGGTTGTGGTATGAAGTAGCTTACAGAATACTTTGAAAAATTTTACTTCTTTACTACCATTCCTTACATACACTTCTCTTACACTCTCATCATTGTAACGTAATATCAACATCATCTGATGGCCTGTAATTTGCATATTATTCTTGAAAATGTGTGCGATAATTCCAAAGGCGAAATTTTAACTTTACAGTTCAATTTCCATGTGATTCTGAATTAGCCTTAATTTATGGACATAAGTGTATTTCATATTCACGTTAAAAAGTGTATTTCATATTCACATTACTTGAAAAAACAAACAAGGGATATCTGTTCAAGGGGAAGGAACATCTTAGTGGAGGGCTTTTTAGGAGAAACTGGCTCACACGAGTAAAACATTGATGAAGATAGCCCATTTACCTGGGTTCAAAATACGAGTATTCAGTGACCATGTGCTTCACATTCAAACTATGGTTTAGACTTGTAACAATAATAAATATTAACTTCTCATTTTTATATTAATATAACTACTTTTATTAACAAAATTATAATATTTGTAATAAACTTTCATGTATGTCGTATCTTTCCTCTATGAATAATGAAGTTTTACTAACTATACAAATGAAGATGAATGCATAGTTACAATAGAATGGATACCTCATATAATTTTATTTATGAGTTAAATAACAATACGGAAGCACTTCTGCAAAGAACCCGGTAAATGTAAACATCGCCAACTTTGGCGATAATAGTTCAAACCTGGTAACCCATCGGATATATCCTATTCGCTTATTCGAAGTTTGCAACTATTTCGCTTCTGTTTATTTTGTTGAAATATCACTGTCGTTGTTTGCATTTGCAGATTTATATTATTCTTCTTTTATTTATTATTATTTCTGAATTTTTTAACAACGAATAGATAGAAATATTTTCGTAGATAGATACCGGTTCTCGGTTCGGGATGAAAGAAGGGGTGAATGCTAATTTGTAACACGACTGTTCACATTGTGTTCTTAATTATTAACAGCTCTAAGAACCATGAGGTTTCCAACGTTTAAAATAATTGGTACTTTTCCGTTTCGCCGGCGCAAATCTCGCCAAGCAGACTTTATTGGCGACAACATACAGTATACACATAAAAAATATTCAAAAAATGTTCTACACGAATTTTTTTATTTTGAAGGCACAAACATTTTAATATTGCTTAAAATTTTATAAAAAGCCAATAAATTTGTAAAAAGACATTAATTTAAAAATTTACTATGCTTTCATGGTTCAACATCCTAATTCGCTGGTTCATATCACGTGACCCCAAGCGATCTCATCTCATGTAAACTACTCTACAAAAATTATCTACATTAATTTCAAGTTAAATCTTAATTTGGAACACAAGTTTAAATGCAAGAAATATTTCAATTCGTACGAATAGCTTACTCAGAAATTATGTAAAACTGCAGTGCTTTACTTCGCTAATGCATTCTCATTAGAATTGATGAATGTAACCCTTGACTTTACCTTTTCTATATTTTCGGCTTCGGGTAAGCGCTGTGATTGCATCCTAATTGACTTAATTACCGAAAATGGCCTTGAGACATAAAATCTGTAACTATCTGATAAAAATTTACGTAATTATATGCCAGTATTGAAAGAAACAATCAATGTGATAAGAAAAAGTGCGACTTGTTTTGAAAATGAGGCGTAAAAGGTTACCAGCAAGAATATTCCGTTTGGCATCAGTTGTACCATTATTGGCGACTTTATCGCTTGCACCGGCAGAACGGAAAAGTACCAAATAATTTTTTTTCGTAGACTGCAAAAACGTGCATGTGCATTTTAAATAATTAAGTGATGCTTTTACTTTTATTATTGGTTATTGTTATCTAAAATTATGAGAATAAATCAATTTTTATGGTGTAAAATTTTAACAAGGTAATATATTGTTAATGCTTTTCTAACAATAACCTTTCAGAGGATGGCAGGTGTGACATAAATATATTATTAAATTGAAATAAAAAAATATTATTGATTATCTAAGATGACGGAATAGTTTGATGCATCAACATGGTCATCAAAATTAGCAAACCACTGCTGGTGTAAGGAATATATTGTTTTCTGTGTTAACTGGAATTTAAGACAAATTTTTTTCGTATCACGTTTAACCGGTAAATTTCAGTATATTAATACTAATTTATATTTCTTAAATGAATTTTTATTCCCGTTATAAACGCTTATATAGTCTTATGCTTAATAATATATTCTTTTCTGTGCTAACTTGAATTTAATACAAATTTATTTTCGTATATCACGTTTAACCGATTAGTTTTACATCTACATGCTTATTATCTGTGAATTTTTACTACCATATGCTTAATATATTGTTTTATCTGCTAACTTAAATTTACATGCACTAAAAATTACGTTTACAAAATATCACGTTCACGGCTCGGCTCATCGTCGATGAACCGCGAGCTTGGCGAGTAAAAATGCAACGGCGCTAACGGGTTCTCTGCGGATGAAAACCCAACAATACACTTGCTTATAAATATAAAATTTTCTACTTATCAATACAACAAAAGTTTGCACAATTACTATCAACAAAACGATGTGGCACTATTTCTAGGAGCATAATAGCATAATTCAAATTTAAATAAATCTAAAATTACCTAATTGCTTAATTTTTGACTAATTACCACAGAAGTAGATTCATAAATTCACATATGGAAAGAATGACGTCCGGATAACAATGAATTGCAGAATATTTTCAGAAAATTCTAACTGTTGCGAAGAATGACTTCTATTTTTGCACACATACGGGTTTAATTTTTGCTTGGAATTATATAAAAAGTATAAGACAGTACAATTTGCATTGTTTTTACCAGAAAGGAAAAATATTACATCAGACTTAACACTGCGGATTAACTACTACCATATTACTTATAATTCAAGACTTGCATAATACAGTGAGGCTGTTGGAACAATAGAAAGAGGAATTTAATTAGAATTCTAATATTATTTTGAAACCGTTTTAATGCACAAAACCGTGGTTGAATGTATCCTAAATGTTAATGTTATTTTATGTCGCACATACAAGACAGTTAAGCGTTTCCAAACAAATACTAAATCATACACTGTGTTAACTTTCTGAAGATAATGATAAAAAGGAGAAGCAATAAGGTACAAAAGTAAACTTTTAAACCTACTTGAGCTGAATAACATGGTAAAATCAGCTTCTAAATATAACTATCAATCATTACATCTGGACTATTTTATCATGATGTCATTTCATTTCATTTCCTCTACATGAAAAGTAGTTTTTTTAAAAATATTTTAGAAATTTAGGTAAAAATTTAATGGATTGTTTTATTAAATACAAACTCAATTACGATGCAGAAAACATATAAAGAAATCTGAAAGGCGGGAAAAAAAAATTATATTTTATTTTGTATTTAGGCCACCATTTAGCAAAATTTTAGCATAATTTTCCTTTGCTTCACTAAATCTTTATGTTCCTTAAATCATGTACTTTCATCAAACTTATTAATTTGAAGAAATAATATTGAAATGCCTAACAAGTCGCATCAAAAATAGCAGAGGGCAGCACGTAACTTCCGGTCTTGTTAAAAGTGATGGAATTATCCCGAAGAAACGCTTAAAGAGTATTCGGAAAGCTGATGGTAAGCTTTATGAAGAATTATATGGTTTTATAAATTTTTGAAATATTTGCATAATTGTTAGCTATTTATTATTCAGCAATTTTAATGTATAATTATAAGAAATAGAAAATCATTTAGAAAACGTTCGCGCGGAGCTGCGCTCGTGTGGACGCCATATTAGTTTATATTTTTCGATATGACATGTGTTTTTTGCAATTGCAAGACTCATGTGGTGTCATGCAATAAAATGATTTTTCTTGAAAATTTTAGAATAGCGGGAATTTTTAAGTGTGTATTGCATTTATAGGTGTAAAAAAAACAACTTGTGAAATTTAAATATTTTCGTCTCTACAGTTTAACATAAATTATCGTGTATTTTATTTTGGTTAATCAAGACAGAAGAGAAACATGCCTGAAATAAATCATAAAAGTAAAGCAACAACCTGTGTTTGGCATAGATGTTAGTATAGAAACTGAATCTAGGCTTAACAGAGGTTGTTGCTTCACTTTTATGAATTTGGTAAATGTTGATATTTTAACCACATATTGGAATATGTGTTGATATTCTCATTGCCTTCTTGTCACAGGCGATCTGTTTAAATTAGCTACATTTAGCTAATCAAGTGTTTACATTTAAATAAATGAGTTTTATTTAAATATTAAAGGAAAATCATTTTACTGCATTTTGCCTGAAAGATGGTCATAATGACTAATACTGATCACATCACCAAGTCCAACATAATTACCATCATTAAATTTAAGCTGTAAATGTTTCGGTTTTCATGTCTGAACTGTTGCATTTATGTTGCTTATAAATTTATTGAAAAAACAGCATATACTATGAAACATAAATTAATTGTTGATAATTTGAGTCCATTTACTGAAAATCTGTAAATAGGATTTCAGCAAAGGGAAACGGAGAAGTGTGCTGTAGGAGTTTAGTGTATCTCCTTTAGGAGTGGATTTCTTAGTTTTGGATAATTGGCGAGAGTTTCAAAAAGCATTAATGATACAGTGCTTTGGGTTTTTGTTTATATTTAAAGTTACTATTTGAAAATCGTTATATTGTAGGGAGATGCGATTTCTATTAAATAATTAATATGTGGAGTAAGTTAAAATTTTTTTTTTTGTTAATGCTGTTAGTTAGGAAAAACATTTCTATTGTTTTTAATTTTACCATGTTAGCTATGTAATTTTCAACAGTGAATAATTTAAAAACTAAATAGTAATAACAATAATATTGTTTAAACAATGATTTTATCTAAAAAATTTTGTTACTAAGATTTGTTACAAATAGATAATTCATCAAGTATTATTTATATCTAGAAATATGAACCTATAAATTTATTGTAGGTAAAAGCACCTGTGCAATTAATTTGTGTGTAAAAGTAAACGTAATTATACAAAAAAAAAAAAAAAAAAAAAAATCTAATAAAATTTAAAATGAAAATCGAGAAATATTGCCATGCCTGTATTATCAGTGCTAATTTCTAACTATCCTAATCTTGCATTTTGGAAATAATGTAGAAAAAATATGGGTAAAATCCTAGTATACGGTGCAGCCTTGGCGCAATTTTGAAAATTATCGCCAACACCAAAAATTACCCAAACAACGTCTATGTACTATACACTATATATATACCCAAACAACGTCTATGTATATACTATACACTATATACTAAGTATAACTATATATATTCTTTGAGTGACCCGTTTACTACTCATCGTATATGTCCTGTTTTTATTGCTCATTATAAAGTCACCAAAAGTAGCCAAATCCCGTGTGCACTGGATACTAGGATTAAACCAAAATATGAATAACTGTCAGCACATTCTTGTCAAGGGTTTGATGTGTCGAGATAAGCAACTGGATCAGCCTGTTTCTGAACTTTAAATGATACAAATTTTCTAAACTTAAATCTTCCTTTAATTACTCCCAAGGGGTTAATGTGTTAAGATAAGCAATTGGTTTAGCCTATTTTTGAACTTATGATGCAAATTTTCTAAACTTAATAGTTCTTTAAGTTACCCCAGTTCAGGTTCTACAGGCTGTCTATTAAAATCCAAATAATAGCATAAAACAGCAACACAGCCATTTTTTGATTTAAATACAAAATATTTTGAGCAAATTAAATCTGAAAACAAATACAAACTACAAGTAAAATAGTAAACGCAGTAGAATGAATCAAATGTATCTTGTAACAAACTATCCAAGTAAGGAAACAACTTTTGTGTCAGATATTAACCCCGTGGGTACGGATTTATTTGAGAAAATATTTGCATGTGGAACGGATATAATTTTTGTTTGTGATTCATCAGTAGCTACATCACTATCGGGAGTATAAAGGTAACAAAATTTATTTAGGTAATCCACTATATTTCTAATCTTTCTTATTCTGCCATCTTTATTTTCCTTTTCATTATCCGTAAAATGTAGAAAGCTTGAAATATCAAAAAAACCTTCGCGTGGCATAGTGCTGGCAAAAATTGGAGTACTTACTGCATATCGTTTTGAATAATACATATGCATTTTTGGCTTCTTCATTTGCGACATCAAGATGCATAATGCAATATAAGCTTTCATTTCATCAGAACTTACAGGAAACCACCTTTGGTTTTTTTTTTTTTTTTTTTTTTTTGTTACTCAATCTTCTTTTTCTATCTCTTGTCTGGCATATCTATTCGTCTCTTCTACTATACTGTCCCAAAAATCTTCATTCAAGACTTCTTTCAAAACATCTGAAGGTGTAGGATTACCACCTAGTCTACGCAGGCTCAAAGGATTAATTCCAGATATTTCAGAAAAACTTTTTATATCGGCTACATTTTCTTCTTCCCAAATCCATTCCTCTGATACTGGTTCACGAGGAGATTCACTATCACTGCTCGATAGACGTCTTGTGCGTCTTCGATATTATATTACAATTGTCATCATTTTCTAGTTCAATATCGTCTTCATCACCTTCGCTTTGTATTTCATTGTAATTGTCAATTTCAGGATCACTAAACAATTCTTTAGATTTCTCAAAGTCACTTTTTCTATCACTATCATAAAATATATTCCTTATTTTTCACATAATGGGGCAGTGTATCGCACTGAAATACTGTAATTGCCTCTTCTATTATGACTGATACAAGCTACAATGAAATGAACAAAATTGTGTCTAACCTCAAATAACGTTTTAGACACGTCATCCACTCCTAGGGAAAACAAGTGAATGATGTCTCTCAGACGTCAAATGTACCCAAGAGTTTAATTTTTGGTTTGACGTCTTAGACACGTCATCCGCTTCTAGGTGAAAAAAGTGAATGACGTGTCTCAGACATCAAATGTACTCGAGGGGTTAAGAATAAAAATAAATTTGTAAAAAAAAAAAAAAAAAAAATCAGTATAGAAACATTGCAAATATTGGTGTGATTCAAGCACTGGGGTGAGTTAACCATATATACTTGTATAATGATTTAGGAAGATGGCTTGAGCATTCAAAAAACAGTTGCATGCATGCTTAAGATGAGAGAATGGAAAAGAAAAATTTTCAGATGTGGCTTCAGATTTTAACACATAATTTTTATTTCATAATAGTGAACCTCCTGAACATATAAATAAGTTTACCAGCATTATTTATGGGTGCAACATGCACCCCACAGCTTTGTACAGCTTATATCTTATTAGACAATAGAAGAAGAGGAAAGTAAATTTTGTATGGCTAGCAGGAGGGGAAAAGGAAGGTCGACTAAAACAGTGAACTAAAAGAAGTGGTGTCTGAAAGAGCAAGATTATGTAGATTAATATTTGGTTGTCACATTTCAGGAATAATTGCACAATAGACATCAGATGACAGATCACTTTTCAGAATTACAGGAAGTAAGGATTTTGTTAGAAAAGTTATTGCTTTTTTTTTAATGAAAAGGGGAGCCAAAAAGAAGTCAAAGTATTATATTTAATTTATTATTAAAAAAGTAGGTATTTCTTTTACATATTCCCTCACTTTGAGAAAAAAAGATGTAGCAATAGATAAGGCTTTTTAGCAAAAACATTATCATTCAAATTGCAATATCCCTCTTAATTCCTCCTTTTGGTTTCCCCCCCTGTATTCTAAAACTGGTAATAACTTTTTTCGAAACTTCATTATATCTGAAAACTAATTCCACATTATGCCATCTTAACTTTCTGCATTGCGTGTAGCCCTTAGCCAATCGGATTAATGAAAAATTTTGCTAGAAGTACCTGAGCAATCCAACTATGCATTTTCTATCTGAAGGATGTCTCTTGCTTTGCTACTTGTATTAAAAATGTAATGCATCATCATCAAAATTGTGAGGCATGGATTGTCTCCGTTGTGACGTGCTGTGAGAGTAATCAACAAGAAATTAAGATATGTGTGGATTATCAAGTGATTTTGCTATTCCTCAAAAGTTCCCAGCATCTTTTATTATATAACCGAAATTTTAGTGATCACTTATCTTTATTCCACCCGTGACTGCAGAATGATTGGAGTCTTCATTAGTCAAGCACTCATCTGATATCAAATTAACTGCGATGGACAACATTATGTCATCAATATATATGTATAAACAAATACATCTCATTTATATACAGCAAATTGTTTTATTTATGTGAATTCAGTTGAAAATAAATAAAATGATTACTGCTGTGAACTAATTTGCAGTATCATTCAAATTCAGAAAACATAAGTAAATACAGATAAGCATATAAATACATAAAAAATATTATACAATCCAAAAATTATCCTGAAATCTTTTAAAAATTTTAAAACTAAATCGCAAGTGAATAATTGTTAAGCAGGCAGGAGACAGACCTTTTCAAGGGGAAGTTGTTCCCAGAACCTAACTCTTCAATTGTTTAATTTATGTTTCTTAAACCATATAGGTATGGGTTAAGAATTGCACAAAATCAAAAGTAGTGAAATGTTAAAATGAGAAATTTAGAAAGCAAATTCACTTTAGGAAAAAATTATTATTAAAAGTACAAAGCCATAGTAATTTATAATCCCAAGCCTATGTAGGTACTTCCCTGACACATAAATTTTATTATTATTTTATTTTAAAATGTACATTTTTGAGGCATACCAATACAAATATTAAACTTATTTTAAGTTTATTACAAGTTATTAATCACAGTCTTTTTAAGCTTTACCATTTCCTAATTACAATTTGAAATAGTTTTAAACCTTCCTTTCCTAGGTGATAATCATAAGTAGAAATTTATTAATTATATTTAAATTTATATATATACATAATTTGTTTTCTAATAGAGTATTTAGTGTATTATCTCCTGTGACAAAAGTAGTTAGAATTATATTTAAATTAAGTAACTCATTAGATAGTTAAAATTGAATCTTGATTAAATTCAAAATGGAAATTTGAAAAGGTATAATTACAAATGAAAATGCAGTCACTGAACGATGTAATTATGCTCATTTAGTAGAAATTAGTTGACCTTTCAAGGGAAACCAACTAACTTCTTCAGTTGCTAAGTACAAATGAACCAAATAAAGGGTGAAGAAAGATAAGATAAGAAATGTTGGACAGAAGTTAAGCTACTTGTGCCATCTATTGATGAAACAAGAAAAACTAAAACAAAATTTCTATAAAGGCTAAAGGTAAAGATGGATTGCAATTGAGATCATTAACTTGAACAGAAATGTTTTTTTGGATGTGAAATGCTTCTAAAAATTCTAATTCACCAATGGTTTTCTGAATAATTGTGGCTGCAGAAAAATGCAAAGTGATTTTCATTTCAACAATGCTGAGCAACAGCGGATTTCTGTGTTTCCTTTTTCCTAACATATGCCTCATGTTCTTTAACATGAAATTTTAAGGCTCTTTTTGTTTGATCAATGTAAATTAAACCACAGTGGCAGGGAATCCTGTAAATACTCCAGGAATTCATATCCAGAATGGAGTCCTTAAGCATGAAACTAGGAATTTTATTGATGGAAGAAAAAACAACCCGAAAGTTAAATTTCTGAAAAATACATGCAATTTTATAGCTAATTGATGGAAAGAAAGGAATAACAACAGGATTCCTATAATAACCTAAAACAGGATTGTACCTTTTGATGTGTGATGAGAATTTTTTAACTGCATGGTTAATAATGGGTGTAAAGCCCCTGTCAATAGCAACTGCTTTTAAATAATTTAGTTCTTGATCAAAAGCTGATTTGGAGGAGCAAACTTGAAGTGCATGGAAAACACTGAAATAAAATGGAGGCAACTTCTGTTTCGTCGGATGACATGATTTGAAGTGTGGTGGAAGGCAAACCGATGAAGGTTTATGGTAAACAGTAGTGCTAAAGTCGGATGTGTTACGTATGACCAAAATGTCAAGGAACGGAAGAGAATTGAATATCTCAAGTTCAAAAGTGAACTGAATAGCAGGATCAATTGAATTCATTATTGAAAGAACATTATTTAAATCAGTTTCATTACCATCAAACAGATTAAATGTGTCGTCTACGTAGCAGAACCAAACTAGGAAGTTTAAAGTTTCAAATACTAATAAAAATTATTTTTAGATTTAAAATAATGCATGTAGATATCAGCAAGGATTGGACTAAGAGGACTTCCCATGGCTAATCCCTCAGTTTGTTTATAATACTTATTTTGAAAAAACAAAATGTGTTTGTATCAAACAGAGTTGAGTAAGTGAAATTAGTTCATCAGTTTCGATGCAGGAGAAATGAAATTCACGAAATCTAGTATTTAGACATCTTAATGCACCTTCCACTAGAACATTGGTAAATAATGATGGTACTATTCGGTTTCGAGGACCGTAAAAAATTGCAGCGAACATGTATGGGCAAAAGCGCCAAATCTAGCAAACGCGCCCATTTAACAGCGCGCCAAATCTAGCGTACGCGCTGATGTCAGATTGCGTAAGTTTATATACTTATATATTTCTTAAGACGCCATTGAAATACTAGTTTAATTTTTAAATCCTTTTTTGATTTTAAATCCTTTTTTAATATCCTATGAATTTAACAATTTGGGAATTGCCCATGACGAAAAGTCAGCAATAGAATTTTGGGTAAAGTGCAGAATCACCCACTGCTTGACGCGTTTTTAAGAATTGCACATACTCGGTATCCATGTGCATATCGACCTATTTTCACTTTAAAAAAAAATCCCAGAATTGCACAAAAATGGCACTGTGCACACCCTTGACTTTATCTATGTACACATTGACCTATTTTCACTTAAAAAGTAAAAGAAAATTGACAAAATTTCAACTGTTTTTTTTACCCTTGTAAAAAGCGGAAACAAATATGTGGGCGCTTCTGCACTTTACCGAGAATTTTTTCAAAGAAAAGGCATCATTCATTATAGAAAATTATACTTGAACAACCAACGAGATGAAATTATGCTTTAGCGATAACTCGGTAGCGAAATAGCGATGCAGGCATCCATTCAGTTATGTTTAGCAATTTTTATATAAATTATAATAATGATCTGAAATAGTTATTTACTCGTATGCTTCCATTCAGTCATGTTTAGCCTTTTTTATATAAATTATAATAATAAAAAAGTATTATATGAAATTAACCTTTCATCTAAATTAAAACATCAATCTTAGATAGTTATTTACTAGTATACTTCCTTTCTTGCGTTAGGGTTGCCGCAATTATTTTTGGCAACACTGGCATCAACAATAGTTTAGTGATTTTTTAGGGTCCTCAAAACCGAATAGTACCATAATGATTTAATATCAAAATAAACCATCAGGAAATTTTGTAGAGAAATACCTTTAACTTTTTTTGCAAACTGTATTGAATTTTTTATGGTGTAAATGTTATTATCCAATAAGTTAAAAATCTAGAAATTAAATATTTAGCTAACAGATACGAAGCAGTGCCTAAATTTTATGTGAAAGGAATACACTTTTATGAATTTTGGGAAGAGCTTATAATCTGGCAAAATTCACAGCAGATGGGATAAGCGATCGTTTTAAGTGGGTCGGAAGGATTTGTGAAGATTTGGTAGCAGTTTTTTGAGAGGTCCGAAGGTGAAGGGTCTTTCGGGATCGAAATCAGTGCCTTCCTGGTGCCAGTCTTGGTGTCGATAAAGGATCTCCAAAAAAAAAAAAAAAAAACTAAGGGCACCAATTTGTAAACATTAGCCTTTGAATTTTGTTAGAGACTGGCACATCATGTCTTTTTTTTTAAAGGAGCAAAAATATTCTGCATTACGCACTAGAAATATATTATTTAAATAAGCAAATATAAAAGAAAATCATGTATTTAAATGTATGAAACTTTAAGTGTAATTTTTTATGACTAATTTTTTAATTAAATGTCATTTTGTGATTTGAGGTTAAAATAAAATAAATGAAAAGTGTAAAATCTATTATAATTTTTAGTACTATTACTATGTATACATGCTAAAAAATATTTTAATCGTAATAAAATAAATGAAAAAGTGTAAAATCCATAATATTTTTTGTACTGTTACTATGTATACATGCTTAAGCAATATTTTAATTTTAGAAATTTGCTACATATCAAGGAACTACTCAGAATTTTAGAAAATTGATGTAACCAAGAATAGTATATGATTTTTTTATATATTCAGCTATAATGCAGATCATCTTTACTCTTTCTGAAAGAGAGGTTTCATGGGGTTTTCTATAAAACCATTCTTAAACTAAATTGAATTTTGATGTACACTTTAGATAGATGAATTAATAATATTATTTGCACTCCACCTGATGCATTCAGCAAGAAATAAATTAGACTTTAATAAATTAAGCATAGATATGTAATGAATGTTTGCATATTGTCTGAAAAACTGAAAACTGTTGTATCTTCTAGCCATGACAGAAGATGTAGAGGGTGAGTGCTCTTTGCTCAGCACTCATCAGCAAATTGCAGTGGAATCACCAGAGCAGTCTGATGTTCGTATTCCCGTTTCACAGCCAGCATCCACTGTATATATAAATCCTAATATGACGATAGAAAATTCCTGTGTGTATACTGCTGCGATACCAGCTGATCTTGCAGGATCCTTTTCTGCAGGTGAATTCTAGACTTTATCTCTGTAATTTTTAATTTTACAAATACAAATAAAGTATCACAGAAATAAGTCGTAAATACAAATTTCACAAAAGTTTAGATTTAATTACTGTATGGATGCACTTGATGTATTGATGCAATTTTTAAAAATATTTGGCATCATATTGCTTAATTCTTAAGTCACGTTGTTAAAAAATATTCAACCTACTTCTTGTTTCCATAGTAAATTATTAATTTGACCAAAGCCTGCAGAGAGAAATCTCAATAATGTTATTTGGTAACAGCTTTTATTATGGGATTTCTCTTAGATGACTTTTAAATTCCGAAACTTTGCATACACATACGTTTTGAATAAGCTTGGGCTTGAACATCCTTCTTAAATGCAATCAACTCTTCTTGTGGCATAACATCAAGATCAAATATATCACGATTCTATGAGCCATGTTGGCTCATTAAAAATTTTAATGACTTGAAAGCAAACATTAAAATATTTTAAATTTTGCGAGTCGCTTTTATGCAACAATATATCTATATATCTTCAGAAAAGTTTTATATTCTTCATATATTTTTGGTTATGTTTTCTTGTGTTCTTGCATTTTATGTTTTTAGAATATACTATTAGCATAAAAAATATATATAGTTTAAAAAAGTATTATTGATTTTTAAAATGCATTAAATAATTCTTGTGAATTTTCCCCCTATATTATATGGTTTTTTATGTGCTATATGATATTGCTTATCAGTTTACAATTAATTACCAATTTATTTATAATGTTTTTGTAATCAATAGGATCTTTATCATGCCGATCAATTGCTTATGCACATCCGGCTATCGACTCCTTGATCATCATTGATCCCTTTTAAAATTTCATTGACCCCCTTTAAAATTTCATCAATCTCCAAGGAGTTTGTACTGGCATCTTAAGAAATATCTGGTTTAGAACAATAATGTTTTTCACAATACTACAGGCCAAACTGTTTTTAATGCAACTGATGGTATCTTCGCTCAAAAACATTCCCGAAAGAGGAAAAGACAGTGAAAGGGACACTGAACAGTACCTATTTTGCATTGCATATTGTCCGTTTTGTGTTTCTGACATCACTAAAACCAGCAATTTAGCATGAGCACTGGTTATCAAAAACTTTGCTATAGTAGCTCATGTAATGGAAGTTCTGTAATATGTCTCTCCATCCTGAATCAAATATATCTCTCATTATGTCCTGTAATTAGCAATATTTACTGTAAGTATATTGTGCTGTCCAACCCCATGTGCGAAGAGTTTTTGTCCATGTGCGAAGAGTCTGTGCAGGCATTGTGCACCAGCTATCTAGCAATAGCATTTCATTATTGTTCCCTTATGTGATTTTATATAAAATATTGCATTCCTGCAGAAATGTTACTGCAGTTTCTTCCATTGTTGCAGATTCCACTTCCTTAAATGCCTTTTTTGAAATTGAGTTCAAGACACACACACACACACATTCTCACAAAAAAAAAAAAAAAAAAAAAAAAAAAAAAAAAAGTCGCAGTTTGTGTATAAAAACTGCAACTTGGAATACAACAAAAAGGATGCATATAAAAATGATGATATTGCTTGGCTGAAGGATTGTTATGAACATAGATTGTGAAAAGAATGGCTGTGTACATGGTTTCCAGAGTTTGGCACATTCTGAAAATTTAGTGATTTTTGCAAAGTTGTTTCTGATAATAAGTAAGAACTAGATTTTTCTAGATGTGAAAGCCTCAAGGAAGTCTAATTCACAAACTGCTGAAGTTATGAATACTTTGGTAGACGTTGAAAAAATCTTGCTCCTGCTAAAATAAATAACAATTATCATTGATTTTCTTGCAGTCAGATTTACTTAGTGTGTTATTCTTTTCCATTTTTATTTTAAAGTAGCTTATTAACTTAAACATATTAACCATACTCATTAAAGATTTGTACAATTTAATTTTTGTGCTGTTTGAACATATGTGCATGAAGAACATTTACAGGCAGGATAGATGAAGTACAATCTGCATTTAAAGGTATACATGTATAGAAATGTTTATTTCAGAGTCAAAGAAATAAAAATCTTGGCAGTATTATGAATGGTAGTTATTTAAGAATATTTTTATGTGCATATTATTCTGCCTGATCATTTGCTTGTGTGAGCATTTACTTATACGAGCAATTTTTGAAGTTGGTGGTTTTCAAATGAACATTTATGATTGTGGGTTTTCCTAGGCACATTTGTGTAGTGTCATAATTATTTATTAAAATATGTAACAGTAAAAAGTACGTGTATAACTATATTGGTGTGTACTTGTTTGTGAAGTATTAGTATATGCTGTTATATTTTTTAGTTTGCATACAATCCAGTATCTTTAAAAGAAATAGTACTTTTAAGGAACAGGGTATATTTAAACATGTAGTCAATATTAAAACTGCAGGTATTTCTCAGTCTTATTTCTAAGCATTATTTTTGGAAAGTTCTGACAGAGATCTATGTTGTACAATTAGGTTCATTATTAACTAGATCAGCTGGCTAGTATATAGAAATAAGCTGTCTTGATTTTGTGTTTGAAGGAGAGTCATAAATGATCAATGCATTTCTTTGCATCCTTTGAAATTGCTCATTTAAGATTAAATGCTCTTCATTTTCTAAAGTGTTTAAGGAGAAATCTTTATGGAAGTTTTATTAGATATCTATCTCTTTGAGAATAATTGTGGCATCATACAGGTTTGTTTTTCATTGTCTAGGCTAGGAGGAGCTGAAAAGTGCTGCTTATATTCTGAAATACAAACAAAATGGGAGGGTACTATAATACATTGCTTATTAAAATTAAAGGATATTGACAAAAGGAAAACATTACAGTTACTTATTGCAGAATGATTAAAACCAGTTTGTACAGAAGCATTATTTATTACAAAATACCTTGTTTGGCATTTAATTAATTTCAAAATACTAAATTTAAATTTATGAAAATTAAAAATGAGGGACAAATAAATTAGTCTACAGTTAACCTCCACTTTTGCCTTTTACTCAAGTGATACTTTGAATCATCACCAATAAACTGAGTGTTCTCAGAAATCACATTAAAAAAAAAAAAGGGTACTGTTCGGTTTCGAGGGCCGTAAAAAATTGCAAAACTATTGTTGATGCCAATGCTGCCAAAAATAATTGCGGCAAGAAAGCAAGTATAATAGTAAATAACTATCTAAGATTAATGTTTTAATTTAGATGAAAGGTTAATTTCATATAATACTTTTTATTATTATAATTTATATGAAAAAGGCTAAACATGACTGAATGGAAGCATAAGAGTAAATAACTATTTCAGATCATTATTATAATTTATATAGAAATTGCTAAACATAACTGAATGGATGCCTGCATCGCTATTTCGCTACCAACTTATCGTTAAAGCATAATTTCATCTTGTTGGTTGTTCAAGAGTAATTCTCTATAATGAATGATGCCTTTTCTTTGAAAATATTCAGAATCGGAATTCAGAAGTGCAGAATCGCTCACTTATTTGTTTGCCACTTTTTACAAGGGTAAAAAAACAGTTGAAATTTTGTCAATTTTCTTTTACTTTTTAAGTGAAAATAGGTCGATGTGTATATAGATAAAGTCAAGGGTGTGCACAGTGCCATTTTTGTGCAATTCTGGGATTTTTTTTTAAAGTGAAAATAGGTCGATATGCACATGGATACCGAGTATGTGCAATTCTTAAAAACGCGTCAAGCAGTGGGTGATTCTGCACTTTACCCAAAATTCTATTGCTGACTTTTCGTCATGGGCAATTCCCAAATTGTTAAATTCATAGGATATCAAAAAAAGGATTTAAAATCAAAAAAGAATTTAAAAATTAAACTAGTATGTCAATGACGTCTTAAGAAATATAAAACTATATAAACTTATGCAATCTGAAATCAACGCGTATGCTAGATTTGACGCGTTTTTAAATGGGCGCGTTTGCTAGATTTGGTGCTTTTGTGCATACATTTTTGCTGCAATTTTTTACGGCCTTCAAAACCGAATAGTACCAAAAAAAGTACACACCAAATTTCAAATTTATGTCCACCCACCGGTATATTATTGTCAATCATATAATTTGCATATTTTATGTGCAAAAGTTAAATTTGCATTCAGTTGCAGGTAATTTACATGAATAACATTATTAGATTTTGGTTAGAACTTGTAATGAGCATATTTTTTCAGACTCTTATTTAATTTTGATGAGCAGTGTGTAATGCAGTACAACAGCTTAAGTAACACCTGATATTGTGTTCTCTTAGTAATGCTGATCATTAGCACCTACACACTCATATTAGAGTATTTAACCAAACTGGAGTGTAGGCAAAAATGTTCACTCGATGCCTAGATTTAGAAACCACTGTGTAAACAAAGCTTTATTCTCTTCATAGATGCCACTAATGGCAAGTTCATGTACTATTTTTTTTGGGGGGGGAGGAGGGGGAGAAACTGTGTTTTGCTAATTTTTAAATTTTCTTTCTTCTAGTTTTTCCCCCCCTTGAAATTTTACTGTCTTTCATTTTCTCACTGTTTACATATTTATTTAGTATTCTATAATATGTATAATTATTATAATATGAAAAGATAATTAAATATACACAAATGTTCTATAAATTACTCTTTTAAATAAGTAATGTAAAATTAACAAAATTTAATAATTTTCAGTATGCTTTTTCCAGTAGATGATTATGCATAGATACACAGATACAGAATGGTGAATAAAAATCAGAAATGATTTAATATGTTTCATATTTTTACATTCTATGCTGAATATAATCCAAGTACTGGCTTTCTGAAAGAACTTATCTCTAAACAATAAACACAAGTAATCAGTGGTATTAACTAAAAATTTGGTGATTATATATTCTGTACAAATAAACAATCATATTGTAATAACAGCCTTTTTAAGACTGGCACTAACAAATGTCTTTGCTTTTTACCTGATACATGGGATTTTCATGATAGCATTGTTGATTACT